ATCTGATCAATCAAATGATTAGATTAGATGCTAAAATGCTTCTAGCTCTAACATGCTGGCTGTTTGCACAAGTCATATTTCTACCTAGATTTGTGTGCACTATGTGTCATACATTACATTACACAGTGGTCACAGAAGCCGTTGGAAGCACCAGGATGCATCAGCAACTCCTGTTAAGCCAGTGGTTCTCAACCTGTGGATCATGACTCCTTGGTCATATATCACATATTTGCCAGGTTAGCCAAAATGGCAAGCGTGCTGTTCAGTTAGAGACTGTACTGACTGGTTTTGTGTCCACTTGAGACAAGCTGGAGTTATCACAGAGAAAAAAGCTTCATTTGAGGAAATGCCTCCATGAGATCCAGCTGTAAGGCATTTTCTCAATTAGTGATCAAGGAGGGAGGGCCCCTTGTGGGTGGTGCCATCCCTGGGCTGGTAGTCTTGGGTTCTATAAGAAAGCAAGCTGAGCAAGGCAGGGGAAGCAAGCCAGTAAGTAACATCCCTCCATGACCTCTGCATCAGCTCCTGCTTCCTGACCTGCTTGAGTTCCAGTCCTGACTTCCTTTGGTGAAGAACAGCAGTATGGAAGTGTAAGCTGAATAAACCCTTTCCTCCCCAACTTGCTTCTTGGTCATGATGTTTGTGCAGGAATAGAAACCCTGACTAAGACAGACTTTGTCTCAAAAAAAAATGAAGGTGGAAATTGATCAAACAAGACAGGATATATAGATTCTTGGTCTCCACATACACATGAATGTGTATGTAAAAATACACACACACATCCACACACCACACACACCACTACACATACCAAGACATTGACCTTTTAGTCAGGACTTCTGACTCAGACTTTCTAGTCCTTGTCCAGGTTTTTATCTCTATGTAGCCTTGGTTAATCCCATCATCTGTGCTGGCCCTTAGCCATCTTAAAATGAGGTCCTTCTAGATCTAAAAGCTATGATATTTCGACATGAGCAAATGTGTGTGAACTTAATGCACTTGAAAGGAAAACCCAAGGTCTCTGGGGCCATGCTCTCTCCTAGCGAAGGCTGCTAGATCCACAGATGTTGCTTGCCTTGTTTACTCTGCCCTTGGCATTGCTGGAAATCCAATAAATATCCTTGAGTGCTTGAAAGAATAGATTTAAGCTTAACCATTTTCCTACTCTTTAGACCTGACACTTATCCAGGCAGGATGATTCACTAGAAATGGTGTGGGTTATGGATCACGCAAATCCCCTCAGTGCTTAGAAGCTGTGGGACCTTGTTCAAGCTATGCAGCCTCTCTGAGCCTTATTTCATCATGGGTGAAAGGAGACTGATAGGTCCTACTTTTAGGCACTATTATGAGGAGAATAGACGGATGTTTTAGAGCTGTGGACACAGTCTGTGGTGCATAGTGACTGTTCCAAAAAATCTTAATGACAGAAACAAACATTAGCACCAACATCAACACCCTGCTGCCAAGGATTAAAGAAACAACAGCAGCAAGATGAAGAAATGGAGCTCTCTGTAGACTTCTCAGTTTTTTCAAGTCTCATCTTAATTGTATGATTTTATCTTTATAATCCTGTGAGAGAAGTGTTACACCCACTTTCTAGTTGAGAAGACTGAGGCTCAGATAAATCAGGTGATCTGGTCCAGAATGATGTATCCAACAAGGCCCAGAATGTAGACAGGGATATGACTCTTTGTTATCAGTGGTCTGTCCATCATGTCAATGTTCTCCCAGGACAACGACATAGGGTCATGTAAAAGCAACAATCTTGTCTGATGTGAGAACTGTAGACTAGGTATACCTCACCCAAGCTGGGCTCTCTGAGTATGTAGAGCAGCCATTATCCACCATCCTTTGATGTGATCACTCACGGATAAAGGACACCCCTCTAAGTCTATGCAGTCAGTCTGACTCTCCTCTTTAGGCTTCTTTAAGCTTGGCACTCTAGGATTTAGTACCCAGCCACTCATTTCTTATTATTTCTTGTTCCTTTTTTTTTTTCAAAAAAAGGTTTTAAGATTGAAATACTTTCATATTTTAATTAAAATATAATTCTATTACTTTCTTCCTTCCTCTTTCTCCCTCCAGTCACCTTCCCTTCCTCCATGTCCTCCACTCAAATTGATAGCTTTTCTTTGGTTATTATTGTTACACACACATATACAAGTACATATATGCAAAAATATATAAATGCAACCTTATGTGTCTGTTTTTGTTGTTTGTGTGTGTATGGTTTCAGGGCTAACTAGCTTGTATTAGACAACCACTGGCTCATAGGCGTTGCAGCTGTTGTTGCTTCCCTCCCTTGGAAGGTTGCATAGCATCTATTGGTACCATGACAATCTTCAGACTAAGAGGTGTATCTTTTTTTGTTGTGTGAGAACAGAGCATCCCCCCACTATAATTTACATAAAAATAAAGTCACTTCTTCCCCAAATCCTGAGTGTTATCACCTGTCAGCTCACAGGGATCTATCTGTCTGCCTGCTTTTGTCTCCTGAGTCCTAGGATTAAGGTGTGTGGTAGCATACCCAACATTGAGATAATTTCTTGCAGTCCAGGCCGACCTCAAACTCAAAATGCCTAATGTGACACCATTGGGAGACAGTGAAGCCTTTAAGAAGTGAAGCCTAATGGAACTATCTTCAGATTATCTCTCCCTCTCCCTCTCCCTCTCCCTCTCCTTCTCCCTCTCCCCCCCCTCTGTGTCAGAGTGCATGTGTCTAGGTAGGTGCACATGTGCATGCATGTATGTGTGTGTGAGCATGCATATGGAGAACAGAGATTAGCACCAGGTATCCTTTACTATGGCTCTCCAGTTTATCTTTTAAGACAGAGCCTCTCACTGAATCCTGAACTCACCAACTGGGTAGACTGCGACCCAGCTCTGGAGGTCTTCCTCTCCGCTCCTAACCCCAGAAGTAGGGTTGCAGACATGCACCATTACCCCAGCTTCCATGTGGGTGCTGGGGATCTGAGCTCATGTCCTTACGCTTGTGTGACAGGCACTTTATGGACTGGGCCATCTCTCAGCCCTAGAACCCTTCCTAACCTTTATCTCCCTCTTGCACATGTTCTGTCCTGTTGTTAAACCTCAAACAACAAGATCAACTGACATGGCCTGAAGCTTCTTAAACTGTGAGTCCAGACAAACCATTTCCAGGTTTAGGTCGATCTGATGGTGTTTGTTACTGTCACTGGAAGCTGACCAGCATATTTTAGAATTGAAAAGTGTGCAATGACCTGAGAGGTAAAGGGAGATAGGAAGTAAAGCAAACATGAGCTGACTAGTCAGCAGATCTGATAATAAATGAGCTTTTAGAGTTTAGGGTTGAGGACATGAGAAACAGGCAGCGTGAGGGAGAATTTTAAAGATTGAGGTGCTGTGGCCATATTGACCAACAATGGAAAGAAGAGATGAAAGACAGCAGAATGCTATCTCCTCTAAGTTTTCTCTTTACTGGATTTCCTCACAAGGTCCCATATCTTCTGTTCCTCCCTAACACCCTACAACATGCAGGGTGGTTGAAGGATGTGAGCCTCTTTCTCTAAACCCTGAGCAACTATCCTCTTCCTTCTATGGAGCAACTGTCTCCAGCAGCCACCAGAGTGTCCTTGAAGGGCAAGAAGGACATCTGTTCTCACCTATTCAGTAAGAACCATGTGTATGAGAGCCCTCTCTACAGGCTCTGTCTCCTCACACACGTGAGGACTGGGCCTGGTCTTTTGCCCATTTGGAGTGCTGGGAGAGTCTGGGCTCCATGCCACCCAAGCTGATCTCTTGTTCCTGATAAAGATCAATAATCACAGTGACGTCCTGGTGGGGTCCCAGGAAACTGCAGTTCTTGGTGCTGCTGGAGGTTTAGGGAGCCAGAATATGAGGGACAAGCAGAAGTCAAAGGAACTGCGCCCCTCTGTGTCTGAGATAGCCCCCTTTCCAAAGTGGTTCTAGAGTAGGTTGGATATTGAAGGTTTTCTCTGAGTAAATGGCCACAGCAGCCCATTCAAGCAGGAAGAACAGTCAGTCCAAAAGGAACAGGAAGAGGGCAGAGGACAATGCCAGGTCACATCTGGTGTGCTGTCAGCCTCCTATAGCTATTACCTAATCCTGGCTCTTGTCCCCTCCCCAAGAACACTGAGCTTACCCAGCTGTTCCCTTGACTTTGCCTGCATCCCTTTTAGGCCCCAAGCTGCCTCTGTAGTTTTCTTTCTTTGGGAAAACAAAAACAAAAAAACTATTTTAATTATGTGTGTCTGTGTGTGGGTGTGTGCATGTGAGTACAGGTACCCAAGGATGCCAGAAGAGGGTGTTGAATCCCCTGGAGCTGGAATTACAGGTACTTGTGAGAAAGCCAACAAGGGTGCTGGAAATCAAATTAGGTCCTCTGAAACAGTAATCCATGGATTTAAGCACCATATTGTCTCTTCAATCTTTCCTCCCACCTTGAACCTACTCTGTAGAAAAGATAAACTTGAACTTCCGGTCATCCTGCCTTTACCTCTTGAGTCTAGAATTTTATGTGTGCACCACCATGCTAGGAATCTAGCTCAGGGGCTAGAACATTCGGTGAATACTCTTCTGGTTGGTGCAGCTCCAAGCCCTGCAGTTCTCTGCATACCGCAGGTTCCATCAGAGTACACCTTTGGTTGGTGGATTTGTAATACTCTTCTCCACTGCAAAGCCTTCAGTCCTTGTCTACCATTAGGCATGTGGGGATGTTACTCATCCCAGCCCTGGCTAAGCTGTCCATTTATCCCTGTCTTCATTGCAGTCTGCTATAGCCCATTCTTGGGGCCTCTCACATGGTCTTTTTTCAGCCTTTCAGACATTTATTGGAGATCCCTTTTAACTGTTATTCATTCCTCTGAGCTTTAAAACTCTAAAAATTTTCATTAAAGCAATTTGTGTATTGTGGTAATCCATCTTTTGAAAACAAACAAGCAAATACAAAACAGCTTTCTTGACTTTATTATATTACATCTTTAACGTGAACAAAAGCCAGTCTTGCTCCTTACGCAGAGTTGTGTCCCATCCTCCTATAGGATCTTGCTTTGCAGCCCAGGCCAGCCTTGGACTCCTGGCAAGATCCTGCCTCAGGTTTCTGACTGTTGCCAGTATGGACATGGCCACCACACCTACTTCATTCGCTCTTATCTTTTGGGCAGGCCATACAGGTTGGATGCTTGTTTCCTCTCCTCTAAGCCAAAGAAGCTTCACTCACACTCCTTGAGTCTGGAGTTTTCGGAATGAAGAAAGGATGCTCCTGATGGATGCCAGGACAGAATGAGATGTGCATATCATGGGAGGGACTGTGGGAATGGCATTACCCCCTGCTCCAGGTACTTCTTTAGACCAGTGTCATGAGGAGCTAGAGAGCTCAGGGTCTGGAAAGGACTGTGGAAGAGACCAAACAGGTCTAGTAAGCATGTGCGTTTTGATCATTTTATCTCCCTTAACCTCAGACAAATTAGCTATAACAATATCATAGGATTGTGGTGAGACTTTAGTGAACAGGGCCCTTCTTCCTTCTTCCTTGGTATCAGTCTTTATTTCGTGCAATTGGTGCACTACTGTCTAATCAATCTTGGGCCTTTATTGTTTCCATGTTTCCTAACCTGGGGCTTGTGAACTCTTTCTCAGTCGAAGACAAGAACAGTGTCCAGTTCATTCTGGCATCCTCCCCAGGAGTCACCCCCCCCACCCCCCGCGGGCAGCACTTAGCACGAGGAAGAAAGCAGAGGTTCCGCAGTTCTTTTCCAAGATGGTCTGATGAAAGGATTCAGAGTCCTGGTTAAACAGAGACCCACTTCTGGCTCTGTTCTCTAGGAAGGTTGCAGGAAAGCAACAAACAATATGGATCTCCTAGACAATGTGAGATACAGGAGTCTGAGTCCCAGGGAGAGATGACATGATAGCCCAGGAGGGGGCCTTGTTCAGCCGGAGGCCGAGCGTTGCTCACTATAGCCAGCTGCGCCTCCTTTGTGCGAGCATCAGGTGCAAATCCCCGGAGCGCGGGCCGAGCGCGCTCGCGCACAGAAGCACGCAAAGAAAAACCCAGCCGCCGCCCCCATTCTCCCTCCCAGCTCCTCAGAGAGCTACTCTGGCTTCCCCCGCTCCAGCCAGCGAAGGGAGGAGGAGGTCAGACACGTCGCCGGCCGCCCAGCAGGGCTTAACTCCATGCGGGCGGGCGCGAGGGAGGGGGAGCCAGGGACCCGCCGCTCCAGCCCGCTGGCCTTCGAAAGATCCTCCTGGGCCAATGGCAGGCGGGGCGACGAGCCCTGATTGGTGCAGGCGCTCTGCTGATCACTGTGGAAACCCGGGTGGCGGGGAACTCGGGAGGATGCAGAGCCCAGAGCGGGGGGAGCCAGAGGGGTGAGGGGAGGAGGTAGCTCGAGGCCCTGAGCTACCCTGGAGTTTTCACCGGAGGCAAAAGTCCACTGCAGGCGGGCCGAGGGTGGGCGAAGGAAGGGGACCGCTTGGGGGCACTGGGAAGCCAGGGGTACTCCTGAGGGAAGGCAGGGGTACTGGCTAGCTAGTGAAGGCGAGGAGGAGCGAAGGCGAGGGGAGGAGGCGCGGTGGGAGGAGGAGTAGAAGACAAAAGCCGAAAGCGAGGAGGGCGCCGACCGCACACTGCGGCCAGGAGAGGGACCGTCGGTGCTGTGAGCCACGGGCTCCCGGAGGCCGTAGTAGCGCACGGGGCATCCGGGTAGACGGGCAGCATGGGCAAGGGAGGTAACCAGGGAGAGGGGAGCACCGAGCGCCAGCCTCCGATGCCTACCTTCCGCTGGGAGGAGATTCAGAAGCACAACCTGCGCACCGACCGGTGGCTCGTCATCGACCGCAAGGTCTACAATGTTACCAAATGGTCCCAGCGGCACCCGGGGGGCCACCGTGTCATCGGACACTATTCGGGAGAAGATGCTACGGTAAGAGTCTGGGGGTGCCAGCCACTCTTGTCTGCTGCAGGTTGGTGTCAGGAGCCCGGGGTCCCTGGGCGCCAAACAGATCTCCGGTTCTTAATGGAGCGCAGGACGTCTAACAGGGAAAGAAAGTGTACCTACTGCTTTCATCTCGCTCCCGGAATCGTCCTCTTCTGGGTCAGCTGGGCAGACTTGGGCCGAGCCTTTTGGACACCAGGCCTTAGCACCTCTGTGGAAGTCCCATCAGTGGCAAACTGCCCGGTGCATGTCCACAGCGCATGCTGTGCGCTGGTCCAGCCGGAGCCAGGGACCCTCCAAAGGGGGCGCTCGGGCCTTCATGTTTGGCGCTCCCAAAGTGGAAGATGGCCACCTTTGGGCGCCACGGAGAGGAGCCTGAGAGCGGGCAGCCATATGTGGGACTCTCCTGCCAGACCGGGGGGCGGAGAAGGAAAGCTAGTTCCTGGCCTGGACTAGCTCCTGCTTGGACTCCTGTCTGTGAAGGTCCACACAATGGCTCCCAGACAGAGACTGCCTAGTAGTTCAGATTCCCACGCTCCCGAGGATTATCCCGACTCACTCCAAGTGCCAGCCTTCTGGGAAATCCTGGTGGAGAATTGGTGGAAGCCTGGATTTTGCAAAATTCAGGTCCGCAGGGGATCTAGAAGGTGAATCTAGTAGCACTAAGACTGGCTTGGCAACAGGTCTATCTGCCTCTGGGGTTACTATCGGACATTCAACTCAATAGCTCTCTGTTTTTAGATCCTGCCAGGATCACTCTTCCCTTCTTGAACTCCTGGAGGTTGTTGAAGGCTCAGGGGCCTCTGTGGAACTGAGGCTATCCTTATTCACACCAAATGTGTATCTATCCTATATTTGCACAGTACCCCATATCGTACCTGGCCCCACCCCCAACCATAAAGGTGTAGTTGGGTGGGTAAGTGGAGAAATAAAGTCAAAGAAAAAAATCGCACCTTTCTTGGTGAGCTGAAAACAGAGGAAAAGATGTAGCTGGAGAGAGCTTGGGAAAGATGAGTGGGAAGAGGCTGAGAAGAGGGATAAACTTCTTAGAACTCACTCCACATCAAAGTCCAGGATGCTGACCTGTGTGTGGGCTTTTCTTGTGCAAGTTTGTTAGTTTCAATTCTTTTTTGTTTGTTTGTTTTATTTTCTGTTTTTTTTCTTTTTATTGGATATTTTATTTATTTACAATACAGATGTCATCCCCTTTCCCCATTTCCCCTCCCTAGAACCCCCCCCATTCCATTCCCCTTCTTCCTTTTTGCTTTTATACCATTTTAATTACATGCAAGTATTAAGGTCAGTTCTAAGTTGAGAGACTAGCAATACAAAAGATGCAAATAGTCAAGAAACAAGCAAGACAATAAACACAAATAGTCAAAGAACAAGGCAATAAATAAAATTCTGGGAACACTCCCGTGATCACTGTTTCAAAATATCTGAGGCAACTTCCCTGTCCTAGCCCAAAGTCATTTTCATGTCTGAAGCCTACTTCTTTGTTCTAGCCTAATATTTAGATTCCTGCCTAAAATTACTTCTTTGTTCTAGCCTAATGTCAGGTTCCTGCCTGAAGTCTGCTTCCTTGTCCTTGGCCAATGTCATATTCCTGCCAAGCAGCCCATTTCCTTGTCCTTGACCCATGTCAGATTCTTGCCAAGCAGCCCCAAAGGCTCTCCTCCTCTCCCCATTTTTTATTTCATTAAAAAGACTGAGCCTGTCTTAGGTCGTTCTGACAAGAATGCCTTCCTTACCTGTCATGAAACATGCATCATCAAAAGCAATGCACTTATGTCTTAGGTTGGTAAGGCTCTGTGCAGAATCTTACCCATCCTTGGCTTGCAAGCCAGTTAAGTTAATAACTCTGTCTGGGAGTCCATTTTCAATTTCAAGCCATGTACTTTGGCTGCCAACATGTTGATGTTGTTAAAGACAAGCTTTAACACGATGGGCAGGAATAAAAGTATTCCTAGGACAAAAAGGGCTAACATGATCAAGTTATATATGCCATTCTTGAAGCTTGACCAAAATAGAAATACTGACCTCAGGCCATGGGTAATTTTATGAGCAGTATCTACTACATCAACGCTCAGCAGAGCAGCATTCTTGAAATTCATAAGATCACTAAGTAAAGTTAAAACATTCAGAGAGGTGTTAGAATTATGCCAATACACTGCAAGTGTCTTTAAATATTTTCCTAATTATAATGACTACCACTGTAAATTTTAGAACTAACTTGAATCCAATGGTATTTGGCATGACACTCGAGATGGCTCCTTACTCTTAAATTCTGAATCTCCTTCCAATAATTTGAATAGGATAAAGAGCATCAATCTGATGTTGCAAATGCCTATCTAAGTATTCTTGTATATTCAACACATTAGTAACACTTTTTGCTAAATGATTAACAAAAGTAGCTGTCTTAACTTCTTGTATCAAAGCAGTTGCAGAAGCAGTGGTGCTAGCAATTAATGTAATTAAAGCTGTTATGCCAGCAATAATCAAGCCCACTACCCTCTTGCTTCTGCTTAAAGCCTGACTCAGTTCTTCCAATACTTGCAGGCTATTTTTAGAATACCAAGGTTCTGTGATACTCAGGGCAATAAACCAAAAGCTGGTTGGTAGACCTCTGTAACTGACATGCTGGATTTCAAAACACTAACACAATTAGAAGGTGTTCAATCAATGCAACTTACATTAAATCCTGTAGAAGAAACAAAAGTAATTTTAACTTGACAATTAAAAGAGCCTTAACACATGTGCTAACAGCTGTTTGAGATCCATATCCTGCCCCAACTTTATCTCTTGCTAATATAACATCATAGAGAACTGCAGCTAACTTCCAAATATGTCTCAGAAAATGTCCAGAACCAGACTTCCAAATGAAGACTGTTTTTCTAGACCATCCATGATTGAGTCCGAATAACTGGTCACATTTAAGAACAATGCAAGAGTCATTATAACTTCTCTTTCTTGATTCTCTGTTCCACAAAGTCTAAAAAACTTGAGGCAAGGCAGCTTGTCCATCAGGGGTATAGGTAAGCAATGGTGGGTTGGAAACATATGTCCAATACAGCTTCCCAGTCACCATTGTCAGGACACTCAGCAAACACACATGTCAGTATCATTCTTTGCCCCAGCATCAGCATGTCTCACCCATCACTCTGGCAGCCACCATGCTCCTTCAGCATCCTACACTCCTGGGCGTGTTAGAGCTCCTGAGAGTCCAGCCTCCTCTGGGTTTTGGGGGATTGGGTACAGAACTGACGCCTTAGGACTGCTCCAGGCACAGGCACAGAATGGAAGGCCTAGTTTCAATTCTTCCACATCTTTTCTCTTTGAAAAAAAAAAAAAAAGCCTAGGTAGCCACATTCTAACCAATGGACTGGAGGCTTTGATGAACAAGATACAATTTTAGTGCAGATAGAGGAGAACTTGGCATATTTATACTGCCTAAAGCCTATTTTCCTTGCTTGTGGACTCTGCTTACATCCATGGAGCTGGTGATACTAGACCTTAGGAGAGTAAAAGCTTTTCACATTCCTTGAGTGTCCTAGCTCTTGTGGACCTTCTCACAGTCAGAGAAGACCTTCGTTTCCCAGCAAGAAGACTTTCCAGCTCCTATCTGGGGATCTTCCCACTATTTGGGGTGCTGGTGTGTACATGACTCTAGGTGAATTGCAGACGGCTCCTTCCATTTCCAGGCTCTTACCAAAAAGTTTCCTGAAAAGTAAAACAACAAATGTGATTGGTTTGATCTGATTATTCCATATTGTACAATAAGTAGGTTTTCTTGTGTGGAAGCTCAGCCCAACAACAGCCCTGAACTTTATAGTTCATTTAAGAAGCCAGATGTATTTCATCCTTGGTTTTGGAAGTTCTTAGAGTTTCCCTGACCCAGTTTTCTCTGAATGTCTATGTTCAGATCTAACCCAGCAGATACCTGGATGGCTTGCTCTTACATTCTGAAGGCCTGAGTCCTCTTCCCTGCTAACCCGGTCTCCCTGCTTCCTGTGTCATTTTCATTGGTTCTGAGTCTAGTGTCTGGGATGTTAATTGCCCCATGATAGGAAAGGTAAGGTGGGAGTCACTGTAGGCTGCAGATGTGATCCCTGGGCTTGTTAGATGCAGAGAGTCATTAAGTGGAGACACCCCTCACCCTCACCCCCACCTCCATGGGAGATACATCCTCACTCATTCCAATAAGATGCATGTGGCAAAGTTTGTCATAAACAGTGAGCCCCAGGCAGACACAATGGAAAGTTCTGAGACATGAGAGGAATGGAACAGCTAGAATGTAAAGTACTTGCAGAGAAAAGGAGACAGAAGTTAAATCAAAGTGAGCTCATTTGATGTCCCCACATTAAAGCTTATTGTCTTCCCAAATAAGACACAGAACACACTCGGTGGAGACAATTGGAGAGCAGTGGAGTAAGCACCAAGGTTTTCTTTGGCATCTCCCTGTTTCTCCTTAAACTGTCTGAGATCAGATCGCCAGAAGGCTTTGGACAATAAGGAGATCTTCACAGGGAGCATTAAGATGTGGAATTCCCTCCCCCAAGCTGTTTCTCAAGGAGCTTTGTCCCTTAGGGGCTTTGCCTTCTCTTTAAGAACCTGAGGGGGTGATGGAGGATGGACTGTGAGGTTTGGGGACAGACTGATCAGCATACAGAGGCTGGATCCCTAGAGCACTTTCATCTGTTACCACTCCAAGGATATATGTGATATCCTGACAAGAGGCTGGAAGGTGATGCCAGAAGCCAAGGAGGCCATTTTGAGATCAATCTAGGTTATCAGTCGAGAATTTTCTGTTCCTAAAGAAAAAGCCTCAGAAGTGCTCACTTCTTCCCTAAAAGGATGGAGCAGTTGTCACTTGGTCCTTCTGTAGTCAGACCCTGGCCTCACTTGTACTACTAAAAGCCACCTAAGTGGCATGTACTCATAGTCCCAGATACGCAGAAGACTAGGGCAAGAGGATTATTTGAACCCCAAGTTTTGAGGCCAGCCTGGTACCATAGTGAGATTCTGTCACCGAAAATAAACAATTTAAGTTTTACAGTTCACAGACGCATTGGTATTACTATCTCATTTAATTCTCAGGTCAACCTTGCCGCTGTTTTGCCTGAGGCTCAGAAATCCTGCTCAGGTGGTGTTCAGTCATAGTAGGGATCTGCTGGCACCACGCTTTGCAGCCTCACCTTCCTCTCCTCTCCATCTTCCTCTTCTTATTTCTATATCTTTAGTCATTTCCTGATGGTCCCCCAGAGCTTCTTCTGTCTTAGATTTTCTGTAGGCACAAAGAACTGTCACCCATGTCCCAAGACAGTGTTTGCACTTTTCTCGGGAATCTAGGCAGTACAAAACAAGCCCACTTGTGAATTTTCATCTTCAGCAAGAGCTCATGAAACATTCATTGAGCGTCTCCATGGCTCTGAGCTGGGCTCTGATCAGGGTCTCAACACAAAGATGAATAATTCATAGACAGTGGCCTGCATCTACTGGACTTGTGTCTCTTCCTCATTTTCTCTTGCTTCAACCTGGATCCTCCACCTCCAGACTCCTGCCTGTTCTCTAGCCTATCCTGGTTTTGGTCTATTCTTTTTGGCCCATCTACCTTGCTTTCTTACCTCTTAGAATCAAAAAAAAAAAA